AAGTTTTGCAGTTGAAGATTACTACTTTTGATTAAATTCCATGCTATGGCTTTCACCCAACATTCATGATTATGTAGGTTGACGTGTTCCTTTCTATGTTATGGCCGTTGCTGAAAGCAAATGTTACCTACAGTAGTTCCTGGGAAATAAAACTTATTTTCTTGCTGAATCAATCCAAGGAACCAATTTGTCTACCTAAATATAGTGGGCACTTAGAATATAATAAAGGCAATTTTTTATTTTTTTTTTTACTTTTGGATAGAGTGAAGGATTAGAACCCCTGTCATGTTTTTATTGCTATTAGGGCCACTGACCACTCGCCTGAATGCTAACATTACAGGCTGGCAGGGCTATACACATACCGTGGACACTGCATTTTTAATTTGACCATTGAGATCAACGGGACCGCACTATAACCGTGAGCCAAACGCTTGGCTCGCAGTAGCAGCGTGATTCCACAATGTAAAATTTGCTGTTCAGCAACTAAAACAAACAAACAAACAAAACAACTGAAATTAGGAAAAGGCCTCCTCAACACCTTTCAGCAGCCCTTTGAAAAGCAGTCTACCACAGATTGCTTTTCAAAGGGTGGTGAGTACTGCTGCCTGCCTGAAAGAAGCCTTAGGGAGACTCACCCTCTCTATTAATCCTGTTTATCATTATCACCTGGGAGTGAAAATTGAAAGAAAATCCCAAATTGTGGGTTGTTACCAGAACAGGAACAGAGGGGAAATCTTCCAATGAAGACACTAGTTCTGGTGACAACCAGGGATTCCCTCACTTTCGAGGGCTGTTCTCTCACTTTCTGTTTTGGCTATGGGACAAGAAGTGAAGGGAACTCTCCCCAGTGGAGGTACAGATGGCAAAAAGCACAGGGGTTATAACCCTCCCTTACTGTATCTATAATGGAAAATTAAAAGTTCTACTTTAAAGTGTATTTAAACCCAAGGTATTGTAGCTTACCAGTCACTGGATGTGGTGGCTGCATTAGTTTTTAGGCATTTATTTCTGTTATTTTAAACTGACGTTCTGCCAGTGACACACTTCCTGTCGTAGGGTGACAACGCTCACTCACCGTACTGTATCGATGGAGGGCAGCGTTGTCAACCTAGGACAGGAAGTGTGTAAGGGCTTGTGAACACCTCCCCCTCACCTGATAGGGGGAGGTGTTCTGAAGTTTACATATTAAAAACCAGATGGACCGCGGATGCGTGGTCCATCGGGTTTTTCATTCATATGCATTGTGGTATTTAACACAAGTATAGGACTTCTGCAATATTTTTTTGTTTATCTTGTTAATTATAGCACATCCAATAGTGCATAAGGACTTTTTAAAATAAGTTTACATATTGTTGGGAGGAATGCTAGGATTTCTGGTGAGATCAACGGAGGAGACATATCGGCTTCTCACCACCTGCCAAATGCATCTGAAAACTAAAAAGAAAAAAAGGTTTTAGCTTAGGTGCATTTTAAAGTGGTTGTAAATCTCAAACATGAAATATGAACAAAGCATATCTCTCTATAGTGTGTACATGTTCAATTAAGAGCACTAAGTGTCATTTCTGTCTGCTGTTTCAATCCTCTGCTTTCAGCATGAGTCACTTCTGACAAGTATTCTTGACACCAAAAGAAAAAGGGTGACAGGGGAGGGAGCTCCAGCAGATTGACACACACAGCTTTGTTCTTGCGTGCTGTGTAGATGGGGGGGGGGGGGGGGCTTTCCCTCCAATCAGCTCTCAGAGCTCTCTTCAGTGATGTAACTTCAGCTCCCACCCCCTGCTTTTCAGAGCTGAGAGATCCTTTGTAAATTCTGCACTTTGGATGGCTGTATGGAAGACAGGTACAACATATGTAGGAGGATTTGTTTCACCTCTGTGTATCACCTGAGACCAGTCACTTCACTTCATATATGTAAGGGTTTACAACCACTTTAAACCTTTTTAATATTTTTGGTGGAACACATCTTGTTCCTAAAAGCTTATTTGTCCAGATTTAGTTACATAGTTAGTCTGGATGAAAAAAGACAAAAGTCCATCCAGTTCAACCATATAAAAAAATAATACAAAAAGTTATACTCCTACACCTACAGTTGATCCAGAGGAAGGCAAAAAGCCCAGCAAAGCATGATCCAATTTGCTCCTGCAGGGGAAAAAATTCCTTCCTGATCCCCCGAGAGGCAATCGGATATTCCCTGGATCAACTTTACCTATAAATGTTAGTATCCAGTTATATTCTGTGTATCCAAGAAAGAATCCAGGCCTTTTTTAAAGCAATCCACTGAGCTGGCCAGAACCAACTCTTGAGGGAGTCCATTCCATATTTTCACAGCTCTTACTGTGAAGAAATCTTTCCGTGTTTGGAGATTACATTTCTTTTCCTACAGACGTAGAGAGTGCCCCCTTGTCCTCTGTGATGACTTCAGGGTCTACACCGAGTTCACTATATGAGCCACTGATGTATTTATACATGTTGACCATATCCCCCCTTAATCTTCTCTTCTCAAGAGAGAATAAATTCAGTTTCTCTAATCTAATCTTTCCTCATAGCTGATCTCCTCCATGCCTCTTATCAGTTTGGTTGCCCTTCTCTGTACTTTCTCCAGTTCCCCAATGTTCTTTTTGTGAATTGGTGCCCAAAACTGAACTGCATATTCCAGATGAGGTGTTACTAATGATTTGTACAGGGGGAACGGATATCTCTCTCTCTGGAGTCTATACCACTTTTAATACAAGAGAGGATTTTGCTTGCATGCCAGTATTAACCTTGTGATCTACCAGAACCCCTAGATCCTTCTCCACCATTGATTCCCCCAGTTGTACCCCCCCTAGTATGTATGATGCATGCATATTCTTAGCCCCCACGTGCATTACCTTACATTTATCAACATTAAACCTCATTTGCCACATAGTTGCCCAATTAAACAGTGCATTGAGGTGGCTTGTAAGTTGAGACATCCTGTAAGGACGTTATTCCACTGCACAGCTTGGTGTCATCTGCAAAGACTGAAATGGTATTATTAATCCCAGACCCTATATTGTTTATAAATATATTAAAAAGTAAGGGTCCCAACACTGAACCTTGGGGTACACCACTGACAACCCTAGACCATTCAGAGTATGAATCATTAACCACCACTCTCTGAATACGATCTTTTAGCCAGTTTTCTATCTATTTACATACAGATTTTTCCAAGCTTGTAGACTTTACGTTACACATTAGCCGTGTGTGTGGGGAACTGTGTCAAACACTTGCAAAATCCAAGTATACCACGTTCACTGACACCCCTCTGTCCAAGGTTTTGCTTACCTCATAAAAAGAAATCCGATATGTTTCACAACTTCTGTCTTTCATGAATCCATGCTGTCTGTTGCTTAAAATATTTTTTTTTTGTTACAGCAATAACTTATCTATGTGGTCTTTTATTAAACTCTATAGTATCTTCCCAACTATAGATGTTAAACTAATAGGTCTGTAATTGCTTAGTAAAGATTTTGACCCCTTTTTAAATATTGGCACCACATTGGCCTTACGCCAATCCAGTGGTACTATGCCATTAAAGAGTCCCTAAAAATTAGAAACAATGGCTTTGAAATTACAGAGCTCATTTAAGGATCCATGGGTGTATTCCATCCAGATACTTTATTCACCTTTATTCTGTCTAAATATTTCTGGATCATATCAATTGTGAGCCAATGTGGATCATCCGGAGCTGTGTCAATACCATGCCCATTATGGACAAGAGCTCCCCCATACTCCTTTATATACACAGAGCTGAAGAAGGTATTTCATTTGCCTTCTCTTTGTCCCCAGTCACCCACTCTAGATTATTTTGTAAAGGGCCTACATGCTCGGACCGGACCTTTTTACTATTAATATACTTGAAGAATTTTTGGGGGTTTGTCCTGCTATCTTTTGCAATCTCATTCGTCTTCAATTTTTGTGGTCTTTATTTCCTTTTTGCATATTCTGTTATATTCTTGTTAATGTTCAAACGATGATAGCGTTCCTTAATTTTTATATTAAAAAAAAAAGCTCTTTTCTCATTATTTATAGCTTTTTTAACTTTGACCGTAAGCCACATGTTTGATTTTTACCCATTTAAACTTGTTGCCCATGGGAATACATTTTGCAGTGTGTACAAATACAGTCTTTTTGAAGAACTCCCATTTCTGTGTTGTGTTCATTGATGCCAATATTCCCTCCCAGTCTAAGTCTTGGAGAGCAGCTCTCAGCCTTCGAAAATTAGTTGAATTAAAATTGAGCGTTTTTATTTTTCCCATATGTGCTTGCTGTTTACAGCTAACAATAAATGAAATCATGTTATGGTCACTGCTACCCAGATGTTCTTTTATATGGACATTTGTAATAAGCTCTGCATGGTTTGAGATTACCAGGTCCAGCAGAGCATCATTCCTAGTTGGAGCCTCTATGAACTGTACCACAATAATTGTCCTGTAGCAGGTATATACATTTTTGCCCTTTAACTGTTCCTGCAGTACCATTACTCCAGTCAATTTCCGAATAGTTAAAATCCCGCATTATTATCATTGTCCCAGCTTTTGTTCTGTACAAGGAGCGGAGTCTCCACCTCCTCATTAACACTGGGAGGCCTATAACAAATTCCAATGATTACCTTTGTAGTACGCACCCCCATGTGCAGTTCCACCCATAATGCTTCAGCCTCTTCACACTCTCCATCAACTAGGTCCTCTTTCACACTCGCTCTGAGATCACTTCTCACATAGACACAAACACCACCACCACCTTTCCTTTTTACCCTGTCTCTCCGAAAGAGAACATAGCCAGGAATATTAATGGCCCAGTCATGTGAAGAATGAAGCCAAGATTCAGCAATACAAATTAATTCATATTCTGTTCATGCACCAAAGATTTGCTTTAGTCAATAAAGTTTTCTAAATAACTAAAAAAAAAAATTTGCCCATTCTGTGTTTTATTCCAAAAGTCATTTTTTTTTAAAGTACACTTTTTTCTTGCAGGATATGGAAACATTCAGTGAGCTAAGTATTACAGAACATGAAGTTGAGATAGTCGTGACTAACAGGGAAGAGTCTGATGATCCTGATGGCTCTCCTCCTGAGGATTGCTGGGACTTTTCGGTGGCGGTTGCAGGTGGTCCTGGTGTGGGGAAAACAGTCCTGATACAGGCCCTTTTGGGCTTCACTGAGAATGGTCAGCATTCAAGAGCAACTTTTCTGCATCCTACCAGGCCTGGTGGACCATTGCTTTATCTTCATCCTTCCACCCGGGTTTGACTCTCTGGGAGCTTCCTCTAGAAGATGGCTGTCCTGAAAAGTGGATCTCCGAAGCGGACCTCCTTCTTCTAGTTACTGATGGTCAGTTCTCACAAGCTCACGTTGACCTAGCCAGCAGTGCCTTCAACCAGGGCAAACGACTCTGTCTTGTACGCACTAAAGTGGACTGCAACTTGCATACCCTGAAGAGGAGGATGAAGGAAGAGTACAATCGGGTGGAAGTGCTGTCCGCATTACGCAAGGTCACCATACAGCCTTTCAGCAAGGTGACCAAGGAAGAGGCTCCACTGCTGTTCTTGGTGTCGGGCTTTGAACCAAATAAGTTAGACACCCCAAAGTTGAAGGCAGAGGTTGAGAGGACATCAGTAGAATGTGGAAGGTAAGAAGTCAGTGGAGGGTGGAGGTCTTAGAAATGTCAGTAGTACGTTTTAAAGCTGAAGACACAATTGGATGGCACTTACTTTCAATAGAAAGTGTTTTTTTTTTGCTGGTGTTGCTGTCTTAGTTGAAATCTACAATACACAGCTCACAAGAGGAGTTTCAGTAGGTAGAGTCAGTACAGCAGGGGTGCTCAACCTGTGGCCCTGTACCAAGTCACTTAAGTGGCCCTCACTCTTCAAAAGGTTGAGCATATCTGCAGTACAGGAATCACTGTTTGCAGGTAGCATAGCAAGGTATCATGGGATATGTTGTCCTTAGAAATCAAAAGAAAAAAGAGGAGAAGCTGCAAAACATATTGTAGAAAGAGAAGGCCAGCAGACAGACAGCAATCACAGCATGAAAGCAGATTTTTTTTCAAGTATGTTTATATTGGATTGTCAAAAATAACCATTGTTTGTATTGTTATTATAATGCTGATAAAAAATGAAAGTGTATACTGTGACCATACAACTCCTTATGTAATGTTTTTAAATTGCCTTTTATTTTTCAAGTTTGTCTTATTAAATGTGCTTTTAATAATCTACCATTTTAACCTACATCAATATCATTTTCCAACAGACCTCTTTGTCTTGCCCAGCAAGGTTATGAAATAATTGGTTATGAAGAAATAGCTGAGTTACAGTCTGCATTGGAGAGAGGTGGGATTTCAGAGATGGTCCGGTTTATCCAGAGTAGCCTGGACTCTCTGCTGGACACTAGATTTGACCTTGCAATGATGGGTGGTAACCCTGACTTTCGCCACTCGATTCTAAACTCCCTTCGAGGACTTATCAATGAAGAGGATGGAGCAGCACATGGTGGAAACCCAGAAAATCCTATAGAATATCCCTGTTTAAAGTACCCTAAGGCCAGCCTGTGGGACCTCCCTTCGATGGAGAGTCTGGAGTCCCAGCCGAAGAAATACCTAGAAAGTGTGCACATCAACCACTATGACTTCACACTGTTGTTCCTTACACCGTGGCAAGAGGCCTCAAGTAGTTACAAATCCTTAGTTCTTGAGTTGAAGAAGGAAGGAAGGAAAAGTGCTTTTGTCCAGGACTGTGGTGAAGATGATAGCCAGCAAGGAGCAAAAGATAGTGATGTCTTTGTCCTGTCTCCTAGTAAAATTCCAGGTCCTGATTTCCATAGGTTTTTGAGTTTTCTGGAGCAGAAGCTCTCCAGCCAGAAGCTACGAGCCTTTATGCTTTCACTCCCAAACCTCTCTGCAGAAGTCATTCAGAAAAAAATGGAGGCACTTTCCCAAGAAGTTTGGAAGGTGGCCTTGCTCTCCAGCCTGGTGGCTAGCGTACCTGTCCCTGGAGTGGCAGTTGTATGCGACATGTCCTTACTGACTGCACGTCTGGACACTTATCGCCAAGAACTGGGCCTAGATGCCGACTCATTAGCTAATCTGTCCCATAAGTCAGGGGTTCCAGTGCCCACACTTATGGTAGAGATCCAGAGCCCTGTGGGTAAAGGAGTAACACGAGAGCTTGTTGGGAAAATGCTCGGCTCTGCCACAGGTATTGGGTTGGAAGTTGCAGGAGTGTTCTTGCACAGATTCCCACTGTTGGGTCCTTTGGCCACTGGGGGGATAGCTTTCCATGCCAGTTATTTAGTACTTACCCGCTGCTTGCAGGCCATGGTGGAGGATGCCCAGCGTGTACTTGCCAGAGCACAGTCACCTGCTTAGGTTATTAAGGGTTTAGTCCACACAGAATGGATATTTTAAATGTAGGTGAAGGCTGATGGGCTTAGTAGGCCTTTGATTTCCTATATGTTTTTTCTGGATACTTAAAATGCAAGATCTCCCTGCCATAATTTCTGGATCTGTTCCTGTCCACCTGGGAGTTTTAAGTGTTCCTGCCCACATTTGTGTGTTCCAGCTCCTCCTGTTACTTTCCCCTTAATATAAATAAAAAAACAAAACAAAATCTAACAGAGAGTAAATGGAATCCCCAATAATGGCCACAGCAGGCATGCAGACCTGTGGAACTCCGTGCAGAAATCTCACTAATGGAGTATCCAAAAGTTATTAAAAAAAAAAGTGGTTTAACCCATAAACGTCTACCAAAATATGAAATATCAATTCAAAGTGGATGAAACCTTTTAAAGAATGACCATACCCAAAATATATGTCTCTGGTTTAGATGGAATGGGGCAAGGTTTAATCCCCCACATGGCTTTCTACCATCTAAGAAACTGAAGTGAAAGTCTTTCCCCACCTCACACACCACCTAAAACGGAACCTGCTTTCAGTCAAGCTGCTCATGTCGCCGTGTCACTCTGCATATTTATATGGAGAATCCACCAGAGGACACAAGATACTGTATTTCTATACACTGACATGTTGGGTGAGTTTTTCATAGTAATATAAGAAGAATGCAGCCTTGCCTCACAGCCATACCACTTATTGGTAGGGGGTGAACTTTGTCCCACTCCGCCTAAAACAGAATGTTCACTATTTATTTACAGCTGAAAAAATTATTGCCCAGGCATACAGTAAATATTACTGCTAATACCATGTGTTTAAATTCTGACTTCTAAAGGGTGTACTTATACTGTAATTCCACCTTTCAGGCTACTTCTGAATTCAGATTTACAGTAGTGAAGTAGCCATTACTGCACATAGTACTGAACACATATCTTGATCTCTTATGTGTATATGGACTGCAAAATGTAAAGGACCCCCCCCCCCATACACACTTTTCTGAGTGCAGCCTTCCTGACATACTGTAATACTTAGCTGCCTCCCCATTCCAGTGATAGTTACTAAGTGGTTCTGCTTGGCGCTGCGTAGCCTTTGCAAAGAGAACATCCCTCCTGGGTCCTCTTCCTACAGTACACAGCGCCATGGCCTCATTCATCCCTATGGATGAGCCATACTCCTCTGAATGAGTCCACTCTTTTCTGCAAATAAGTAACCTGCATTCCTGGTACTCATTGCAATCACCACCACTAAACATTCATCAGACAACTCACTGCCTTGACAAAGAACCATTAATGAACTCCTGTCAAAAAGTTGACTTTTCCAGGCTAGGAGCATGCTTGTGCACTCCCACTGTCTACCACAATTCAATGCTTAGGCTGACTATACATTGATTGTTGGGGTTTTTTTGAACAGTCAGCAGGCTGATTGCATAAATAAAAAAAAACTAACAAATTCCCCCATCCACACAAGCGAGGAGAATAGAGGATTCCTTCCTGTTGTACTTTTGTATTCTGACAGCAGGGACTCTGCTGTCAGAATACACTGGTCAGCATTGCAACCAGTTGACTGCATGTGCTGATCAAATGAAAACTTTTCAACAGTGCTGTTCAAGAGAAGTTGATCATTAGATTCACTTCTCTTGAATGGGAACAGCCATAGACAAGGTTGCTGTTAGAAATCACAAGGCCCCGTACGGCCTAGCTGCATATATGACCCCCCCCCCCCCCCCACACCCCAACAAAAAAATTAAATTAATATTTTCATTGAGAATATACTAAAACCATTATTAGTGGGCAACTGGGGGAATCAAATCTTGGATAGGGTACCGTGATCGGTGAGGCGGGGGGGGGGGGGGGGGGCGGAGTGTTCAATTACAGGAACTGATGCTTTGGGTGTCTCTCCCTGCAGCAGCTTAAAGCAGATGGGAGGGAAGGAGAAGCTTTGGCAGGGAGAGAGACCCAGGGGATTAGTTCCTCTAACTGCACCCCCCTTGCTTCATCGATCACCTCCACTCCTTTCTGATTCCCCTGCTGGCCAGGGCCCCCCCTGCTGGCCAGGGCCCCATGCAGAAGGACTGGTGATACCCACTTATCAGCGGCTCTAGCCATAGATAGATTTAAATTTGCCTAGTCCCTGCGTAAGTGGCTGAATTTCAATCCATCTATGGTCAGCTTTAGTGCCCAAATGTCCTGTAGCTATGTTCTTGGCACTGTCACATGGTGGAGGTATGCCTTTCAGTATGCAAATAGCAAATTTCAGAAAGTCTGTATTTGCTTAGAATTTTCTATTCACAGACAGGGGAAGGGATGTCAAGATGAGAATAGGCAGCTTATGGTTGTTGCTGCAAAGCTTCAGTGTCAATATATGTGTATTTTTTTTGTGTGTGTGCGTATATATATATATATATATATATATATATATATATATATATATATACTCAGCGCAGTTTGCTCAGCACTTTACATTATGGAGGGAGACAGTACAGTAACAAAACAGTTCAATACAAGAGGGATTAGAGGGCCCTGCTCCTTGGAGCTTACAATCTAGGAGGGAGGGGGATAGTGGTACAAGAGGTAATTAGCTGTGGGGGATGGAGTGGAAGAAAGAGTAGAGGATTCCAGTATTAGCTGGGGTCGGGGTAGGCTTCCCTGAAGAGATGGGTTTTCAGAGTGCGCCTAAAAGTGAGCAGAGTAGGCGATAGCCTGATAGATTGGGGTAGGGAGTTCCAGAGGATGGGTGAAGCCCTTGAGAAATCCTGGAGACGGGCATTGGAGGAGGAGACAAGGGAGCTAGAGAGTAGGAGGTCTTGCGAGGAGGGGAGAATACGGTTTGGGTGGTATTTAGAGACAAGGCCAGTGATGTAATTAGGGGCAGTGTTTATGAACGGCTTTGTACGTCAGTGTTAGCGTTTTGAATTTTATCCGTTGGGCAATATATATATAAATATCACACACATAGTCATACAGAAGACAGCATGTGGCACAAGCAGGGCGCAGTCAACCCAACAAAGCAACAAGAATTGCTCAAATAAATCTTACAAGGTGCTGCAGATTCTGGTTGATCAGTATATATGAGCTGTTCTACCTTTGTATTGCTGTTAATTCAGTCCTGATATTTACACAGCACTGCCAAACAGTGGAGTCAGATTGGTGCCCTGACCTTGCTCTGCTGTTTACTGTAAGGAATACAGTCTTGTCACCTCCTGCCCCATGTCCTGTGATTGGCCAAGGAAGGAGCAGCAGTAGCAGTGATGAGTCATCCTTTTGTTCAAAGAGGTGAATATTCTCATAGCCAACAGAGTACATGCTACAGTCCAACTATGGCAAGGGCAATTGCAAGTAAGGGTACAGGACAGGCTTGTAGAATAAAGACTTTTTATTTTAGTGGTCTTTGCTTTAAGCGGTGAATTACTCTGCTGATGTCAGATCAATACAAGATGGGTTCTAATTGTTTGGTGTGAATACTAACTTTTTTATTGAATCCGGGAAATAGGATTTTCAAGAGTTAAATCCTCCAAAGAGTAATTGAGGGGAAAAAGTAAAATCAATAGCAAATCTATCAATTTTGCTTAAATTACTTTGTCATATTCTGTGTGATCCACAGTAGCCAGAATTCAGAGAGCAAGTGTACAATCCAAACCCACATGTTTCTGCGTTAAAAATGGCTGTGTGTATAAGTGGGTGCTGCAGCGACCATCGGCTGGAACCGAACAGAATTAGCAAGGGAAAATGTCACCAGCATTCCATGGATCACCAATATGGGTCCAAAGGTTTTAATGAACGATCACATAGTTACAGCAAGGCAACGTTTCGGAGTCTCGCAGGACCCCTTCATCATGCCTGATGGTCACATGCCTGATGAAGGGGTCCTGTGAGACTCCGAAACGTTGCCTTGCTGTATCTATGTGATCGTTCATTAAAACTTTTAGAAATCAGAGAGCTTCCCACAGGATCACTGGGAGTTTATTTCCTGAAGCTTTTAACATCTCTCTGCTTCCTGTATCACCAATCACATTCAAACTTCCAAAAGGGATGTAATTCTGATTGATGGGTGAAAGAAGTGCATTGTTCTGTATGTTTTTACATAGAGCTTTCATGATGGGCACATACAACCAGAAGCCTGTAGAGAGCTTGTTTGAGAATACATTCCTGGCATCACAATGAAATGTTCTCAGATCACCAGATTACTGACAAATGAGATTGGGAGGAATTGGGGTGGATTGGAACACTACAATATTGCCTGTATAAAACCACTGATCAGGTAGTGTATTTAATTTGTATGCATCTCAAGTATTTTTCAGTTTAGACTGTAATATTTGTTTATGAGCCAGTACCTCTAAATACCAATACCAATGTCAATTTTGAGTGACTGCTGGTTAACAGCTTCACGGTGACTTTTTGGTGAAGATTTTTCACCTAAGTTTGTGTCACCTCCAATAAGGCCATAACAAAGGTGTCTCCCAAGTGGGAGGGATTCACCAATTGCCTATTCTTCATTAAGCTCCAACCCAAGTTTTTTTTCAATGTTAGAAATTTGGCAAACTATTGGATAATCTTGTGTTGATTTACAAATAAAACTGGTCAAGGATGTTAAAATCTGATTACACAATCTGTATAAACTCTTTTGGAGTTATCAAAACTATATAGTTGAAGGGCCTGTATAACCAATCCACTATTCAAACACACAAGTCCTTACGTACATACATGGGAACTTACCGCCTGGACATGCCATTTATTTATGTGGCCGCCTGGCTCATCTCTGGCCTGTTGCAGATATTTAATATACTGGCATTTTATAGGTCAGAAGGGGACAGGGTGGATTATGATGGAATTGGTGTGGTGGAGGCAAGGTAGGGTATTCTCTCCTTAGGAATGTCACAGAGAGACATACACTGGCATTCCCTGTGGCAGCCAAGAGCTGGAGTAAGGGAGCGCAAAGTCATCTTCATTCACCCACGTTCTTTGCCACCTTCCTCACTCTTC